TCACTATGCTGACATCTGGGACATCCCCGTCACCTGGATGGACCTGGGCCAACCGAGCACTTAGGTGGAACCCTGTTTCAGCAGTAAGGCGGCATGTTAGTGCACCGCAGGCGTCTGGATGACTGGTCATGCATTATTGTGTACTCTCCTGTGTGACAGGGCTGGACCTGAACGTTGTTTTTCGTTTTGTGCTCGTTCTGCTTTTCGCTTTGCTGTACCTGTTTTCCTGTACCCTTTTGTTAAAACGAAAAACGAAAGACAGGCAAAATCCAGCAGAACAACGTCTAGGCCCAGCCCTGATGCGCGATGGACAGCGCAAGGCCCGAGGAACGCCGCTGGTGCCCTGCGGCTGGACGAGGCTGCTGCTGGCTGTGGCTCGAATCTCTGGGCGCATGGACCGGGGTCGACCCCTGTGGGGCTTTGCCCGAGCTCCCCCCCCTGCGTGCCCTCCTCCTCTCCTCTCTTCCTCCCCTGGCGTCCCCCCGCTCTTGGGGGTGGCGTTGGGCTGCCCTCTCCGTGTGGCTCGTCGTCCAGGGGGTCCTCATCGCCGCCGTCTCCATCCTGCTGCATCTCGTCTCACGCCTTAGTTTCGGCTTCTAGACTCCGCCGTTGTCGACCAAACGACCGAGGAGAAGGAGCAGAAGGAGGACGGAGACAGAGATGCCATCAAGTGCCAGGTGTCAAGAGTCAGACATAGATATACATATAATCAATCAAGATTTGATCGGCTCGCTTCACTTCGCCTCAAACATCTTGATCGCATGGCGCCAGAGAGGCCCGCCGCGACTGTTACACGCCAGTGCCGCGATGCGCTTCGGCTATAGGGTCCATGGGTCAGGCGAAGCTGACAGGACCCATTGGCTCTACCGGGTTACAGGGCTCAAAGGCCTCTCCGCCGCCATTGGGGCTCAGAGGCTCGAAGCCTTCATTGGGAAGAGGGGTAGTTCAGCCAGCGCGGCTCATGGAGATCAGGAGGTTCCGAGGACCCGCAGGCGTGATTGGGTTCATAGGGTTCCTCGGGCTGATGAGCTCATGAGGGTTCTAGGGCTCGTAGGTGCCTTGGCCAAACATAACTCACGGGCTCTTGGGCTCATAGGGGTCATTGTGCTCACCGTGCTCATAAGGCTCGCAGGGTTCATAACGGGTCGTGGGGGTCATAAGGCTCATACGGCCCATGGGGCTCATACGGCTTATAGGGTTGCGGAGGCTTCTTGGGGCCATGCAGCTCGTGGGGCCCGTCGGGCTGATAGAGCTCAAAGGGCTCGCAGGGCTTATGAGTCTCTTTGGCGGCACAGGGCGCAAAGGACTCACTGGGCTCGTAGGGCTCATGAGGCTCGTCGGGCTGTCATGGTTCAGAGGGCTCATACGGTCATAAGCTCACATGCGACATAGGGCTTATATGGCCCATAAGGCTCATAGGGCCCATCGGGGTCATGCGGCTCGCACGGCTCATAGGGGTCATAGGACTTGTGGGGTTCGGATGAGCCATATGGCGCATAGGGCTCATAGGGGCTCATAGTGGCCATTGGGGCCCATAGGGGCCGTAGGGCTCGCGGCACTGAGAACGTCGATGTGCTCGCAGGGCTCGACGGGCCCATCGAGCTCATGTGGGCTGATGGTGCCGCGTCCACTAGACGCTTGGGAGCAAGGTCGCTCGCGAGCTCCTACTAGAAGAGTTGTTTTGCGGGCCTCGTGGGTGGCACACAGGGCTCATGGGGCTCAGAGGGAATGATAGGGCTCGGAGGGGTCGAAGGGCTCATGAGTTCATCAGGATCTTGGGGCTCGTAGGGTTGGGAGGCGCATGAGGTCGTGAGGAGTATAGGGTCCTAGGGCAAATTGGGCTCGTGGGCTTCTGTGGTGCACAGAGGTCGTGGGGCTCATAGGGCAAACGGGGCTGAGGCTGAGGGCTCGTAGCGCTGAAAAAAGGTCGTCAGAGCCGTAGGGCTGGAAGGGTCCGTAAGGGTCGTCGGGCTCATATGTGTCGTAGGTCTCAGGAGCTCATTGGGCTCATGGGCTCGTAGGGCTGATGGGGCTGAAGGGCTCACAGCGGAGGGTCTCGTGGGCCTCTTGGAAGGCGCGCAGGGCTAATAGGCCTCATAGGCTCATGGGGCAGGTATGGCTCATTGGGTTCGTAGGTGTTGTCGGCTCACAGGGGGCATAAGGATCATGGGGTTCGTAGAGATTGTGAGGTTCACGAGGTCGATCGGAATACAAGGTCATATGGCGCAGCAAACTCATGCGGTTGATAGATCTTGTGAGGCTTCCGGAAGGGGGCTCTTGAGAGCGTTTTGGGAGCTTTGAGGGCGTCATGGGGGCCTCTTGGGCCTCTTGGGAGCTTCTGGGGGCCTTGATGGCGTCTTGGGGGCTCTGTGGCAGTGTCCAGGACCATCTTTGGGGGTAGGGCTCGAAATGTCGATTCGGTTTGTCCTTCGTTGGGCCATCTTGAGGCGCGGAGCCTTTTGGGCAGTCTGGAGGCCCTCTCGGGCCGTTTGGGGGTCTCCTGGGGAGCCACTTTCGTCCTGGAAAAAGGGAGCACGCTGAAGTGCGTCAAACAACTATACGAAAATCTAATACTTTTGACATCCAGAGCCCTCTAGGAGGGCATCTTGGGGCTCTCGTGGGGCCGAACATCCCAACCTGAACGCCAGAACCCTGACACCGTAGCACACACGTAAACCCTGACATCCCAATCCGAATTCAACCACCGAAGCCCGAACAACCCAACCCGAGCACCCTGACCCGGACACCCGAGTCCTAACACCCAAATCTGAACACCAGAACCGCAAAACACTAACACCCGAAAACCTTATCCGAACACCCGAGCAAGTGTACTTGGAAGCCTCTGGCAAGCCTCCAGGAGGCCTAGGGAATGCACGTGTTTGGCCTCTCTGGGCCTTCGTGGGGATCCTCCTTGGGGCCCCTTTGAGCAATTCTCCAGCCCTCTTGCGCCGTCCTGTGGCCCTTCTGGGCTGCCCTGCCTGGCTTTGGCCGTGTTGGGGCTCTACTAGAGGCCTCCTTGGGGGCATTGTGGGGCCTTCTCGGGCCGTCTAGGGACCGTCTTGGGCCGTCTACAAACGTCTTTGGGTGCCTCTTGGGCCGTCTTGTTGCGATCTCGCAGGCCGTCAGAACCGCCTTGGGCCGCTCTTTGCCTTCTCTGAGATTTTGCCTCCTCAGGCTCTCTCGGGGGTCCTCTTGGGAGCCTTTTGGGCCACCTGGAGAAGCCTCGCGAGCCGTCCTGAGGCCGTATGAGGCCGCCTCGGGGCCTTTTGGGCGCTCTCGTGCCACTCTCGGGCTGGGCCGCTCCGGTGCTCCGCGGGACCGTCTGGGAAGCGATCTTGGGCCCGCTCGGGCGGTGGGGGTGCCCAGGGCCGAATTTAGGGGTGGGGGGGGCTCCTCATGAGAATATGACAACATACATTATCATACGCTCCTCTCCGAGGGAGTAGAGTTCAGAGGCGATTTCAAAATTGGTCTGGCCGTTTCGCTAGGGACAGCCTCAACATTCTGAAAGTCGGTGGCACCCCTCAGCAGACCTCGACCTCACGATCCCCAAATACAGGCATTCTCAATCATTTCATCATTAAGCCTTCAAACACACAATGGAATCCAACGATTTTGAATCCGATTCTTGCCGTTTCGCCTGGGACATCCTCCAACAGACGAGCCCTTTTTTGAATACGATTGTCACAGAAAGGCACCTTCGCCTGAGACATCCTCTCAACGTCGAGCCCTGACGTTCAACACACATAATACACACAGAACGCACACACACCATACAAAATACACCACACACAACGCACACACAGCCACACAACACCTACAACACACAGAACACACGCACATAACACGGATAACACACACACACGCACAAACGCACAAACGCACAAACACACACACATATCATATACACACACATCATAGCAAACACAAACAACACACACAACGCATACATACAACACACCTAACACACACCACGCAAAACACACATGGCCCACACACAACTCACACATAGCACACACAACATACGTACACAGCAAGCACCACACATACCACACACCTTACGCACACACACCACACACATCCTGCACATGTGTTTGTATGAGCCTGGGCACGCACGTGCCATTTGAATGTACACATATATTATATATACACATGCATATCAAGGAGCAGATGAGGGGTGGCCTCCGCAGTGCAGTCAGAAAGCATGCCCGCGCTGTGGAGAGAGCGCCATTCCGAACGATGGGAGCAACGCGCAGGTCCTGAAATGAGGCCAACGTTCCAGCAGGAACACCATTCCCAAACACCGAACACGATCGGAACTCACACACCACATAAGACATAGCAACGTTTGAAATTTTGTGCGTTAGAAGTACTTCATGGAGACGGCGGACTCTCTTCCGGACAGCGTTGGTGGAGACAGGAGGGTAGCACAGCCAAAACCAGTCAACAAGCCACCCATCGCAAGACACCCAACCCTGAAACTCGCAGATGTTTCTTGGGCCAGGGTGTGTCTTGCTGAGCGGCTGCCAGCGAAGAAACCCAGGGCATCCTGGGCCAGGCGGATGATTGAGGGCTCGCGCAAAGCAAGCATCTCAGCGTCAAGACACTTAAGGGACCCTGTCAACTGCGGTTTCTTCGCGGCCGCTGCAAGCCTCCAATTCCAACACAAACCAAATAAACCCAGGATACCCAGGCAAAACGTATAGTGCTTCGTGGCATGGGCTCCCAGTGCATTCATATTGGATAAGTGTAGAGGGATGGGATGAGGATACGGTGGAGGTGCGGGAGGACGGGGCGGAAAAGGATGATGAGGAGGAGGATACAGAAGACGAGGAAGAAGACGACGGTCAGGAGGGGGAGAGGGCAAGAAGAGGACAATCATCAAAGGATGAGAAGGCGACCGGAGGAAACAGTAAGAAAGCAAAGATGAGGATGAGGAGGCGGAGGAAAAGGAGGAGGAGAAGGAGGAGAAGGAGGAGGAGGAGGAGGAGGAGCGGGTCCTGATTCTCTGGCAGCACGCCCTGCGAGGTGATGGGGCGCGCGTTCAGCTTCTTCTGCAGCGCAACCTCGGTGGAGCCGCTCCCCCCAAACCCTGTCGGAGCCGTTGTTGTCGTTCTCCTCCTCCTCCTCCTCCTCCTCCTCCTCCTCCTTCTCCTCCTCCTCCCTCTCTCCTCTCCTCCGCCTTTTTCCCCTGCCCCCTCCCTTATCCAATCTCCCTCCTCCTCCTCCTGCTGGTGCTCCTCCTCCCTCCTGCTCCATCCTCCTCCTCGTCCCCCGTGCCTCCTCCTCCTCCTCCTCCTCCTCCTCCTCCTCCTCCTCCTCCTCCTCCTCCTCATCTTATTCTCCGTCACCCCCCCTCCTCATCTCATCTTGTTTCTCCCTTCTCCTACCCTCTCCTCCGTTCTGACCACTCCCTCTCCTCCTCTATCCTCCTTCTCCTCCTCCTCCTCCTCCTCCTCCCTCGTCTTCCGTTCTCCGTTATCCCTTCGCCGTTCTTCTCCTCCTCCTTCTCCCTGCTCCCTGCACCCTGTTCCCTGTGTCTTCCTCCTCCTCGTCCCCCGTTCCTCGTTCCTCGTCCGTTCCCCTCTTCCTCTCCCTCCTCCTCATCCTCCTCCTCCTCCTCCTCCTCCCTCCTCCCTCGTCCTCCCTCGTCCTTTGTCACTCTTTTCGTCCTCCTCCTCCTCCATCTCCTGGTTCTGATCGATTTGGTTCCCCACATCCAAATTTTGCTTCTTGTTTTCTCTGCAATCCCCCGGCGCAGTGCATTACCACTATCACCATCGCCACCATCACGATCATCACTACCGCGATCACAGTGTGACCATGATTGTCCCTTCCTCGTCAGTGCCATCATCACTCTGATATCACCATCATCATCGTCATCATCATCACCATCACCATCACAACCACCAGCATCAAGATCAGCAGCAGCATCGTCATCATCAGCTATCATCGTCGTCATAATCGTCATCATCATCATTATCATCATCATCATCATCATCATCATCATCATCATCATCATCATCATCATCATCATCATTATCACCATCGTCGTCATCGTCATCACCACCATCATCATCATCATCATCTTCATCATCATCATCATCATCATCATCATCATCATCATCATTATCATCAGTATCATCAGTATCATCACCATCATCAACATCAGCATCAGCATCCATATTATCATCATCGCCCACACATGCACTGATATTTAGGAAGTCTCATGCGGGAGCCTCGTCTATGAGTAAAATACGATGACTTCTCAGGCGGAGGCCCCCTTCCAATCGAGCCCGCAACTAATGTCACTAACCCGAGCGGGTCATCGGAATCTTGTAACTGTCGTCACTGTTGGGCTCCTCAGTCCCGAATATGGCGGAAGTCTTAAGAGGGGGCCTCGTCTGTGAGTGAATTGCGATGCAGTCTCGAGCAGAGACCTCCTCTCTGTGGGGCCCGCAACTCATGTTACTTAATCAGGGCGGGTCATCGGAACCCGGTAGCTGTCGTCTCTATGCCCAACATGCTAACTGGGTTTGTCGTTTTCCCTAGACGCCCCGCGCAATCCTATCACACTTGCCATCGCCATCATCGTCATCATCGAAAGAGCGTGTTCTGTCGCTGCTGGTAGAGAACCGCGGGAGGCCACTGGGGGGTTCACACCCGTCCCCCCCCCTCTCGAAAACGGGGGGGGGTCACTGGGGGTTCCACACCCGTTCCCCCCCCTCTCCCCCGGTCCATCATGAAAAAGGCAGGGGGGGTCGCTACCGGTTCGACCCCCCCCTCCCCCCTGCCCTCCCCCATATTCGCTGCCGGCAAACGACTCCCCCTCCTCCCTCACTCCGGATGGAGGACTGGTGGGGACAGTGATTGTGAGGATGGTGGGGATGGCGGTGGGGGGAGTGGGACAGCGGTGGGGACAGTGGGGACAGTGGGGACGGTGGTGGGGATGGCGTTGGTGAGAGTGGGACGGTGGTGGGGACAGTGGGGACAATGGGACAGTGCGGAGAGTGGGGACAGTGGGGATAGTGGGACAATGGGACAATGGGACAGTGGTACAATGGGGACAACTGGACATGGGGACAGTGGGACGGTGGGACAATGGGACAGTGGTACACTGGGGAGAGTGGTGGGGAAAGCGGGGACAGTGGGACAGCGGTGGGGACGGTGGGACAGCGGTGGGGACACTGGGAACAGTGGTGGGGACAGTGGGACAGTGGTGGAGACAGTGGGGACAGTGGGGAGAGTGGGACTGTGGTGGGGACAGTGGTGGGGACAGTGGGGATAGTGGGACAGTGGTGGGGGGCAGGGGGGGCAGTGGGGACAGTGGGACAGTCGGGACAGTGGGGCACTGGCGACAGTGGGACAATGGGATAATGGGACAGTGGTACAGTGGGGGCAGCGGTGGAGACAGTAGGAACAGTGGGACAATGGTGGGGGCACTGGTGAGGACAGTGGGGACAGTGGTGGGGACAGTGGGAACACTGGGGACAGTGGTGGGGACAGTGGTGAGGACAGTGGAGACACTGGGACAGTGGTGGGGACCGTGGGACAATGGTGGGGACGGCGGTGGTGGGGGCAATGGTGAGGGTGGTGGGGACCGGGGAATCGTTTGCCCGCGGCGAGTAGAAAGGGTGGGGGGGTTCCACCGAGCCCCCACCGGTTTTCCGGGGGGGATGGGGGGGAGGGGTTGAAGGGGGGGGGGTTGCAGAGGGAGGGGGGGGTCGAAAAAGGGGGGGGGGGGACCGGTCCCGGGGTGAGAGGGGACAACTTTTCACTGCGAAGCGGGGGTGGGTCACGCTCTCTCTCCCTCTCTCTCTCTCTCTCTCTCGTCATCGCAACACCATCATCAATCACCACTACCAACATTTCATGGCTGTCATCGGCCATCGCCGCCACCATCACCATCACCATCACCATCACCATCACCATCACCATCACCATCACCATCATCATCATCATCATCATCATCATCATCATCATCATCATCATCATCATCATCATCATCATCATCATAACACAATGTTTTGTGGACCCCCCGCGCAGGAAGGAAAAACACCACCACATAAATGCAATGAAGTCTCAGGTGGGAGCCCCCCTCCCTCTGAGGCCCGCAGCCCATGTTACTAAACCGGGCGGGTCATCGGGGCCCTGTAAGTGTCGTCGCTCTTGGGCCCATCGAACCAGAATCTGGGGGCGGGAGCTTCGTCTGCGAGTGAGATGCTAGGAAATCTTAAGAGAAAACCGCATCCAAATGGGGGCCCGCAGATCATGTGAGTAATCCGACCGTGCCATCGAAACCCTGTAACTGTCGTCACTTCTGGGTCCTTGCATCCCGAATGTGACGGAAGTCTCGGGCAAAACACTCGTCCGTGAGTAAATTCAAAAGACGCCTCAGGCGGGAGACCCGTCCGTGTGGGGCCCGCAGCTCATGTTACCAATCCGAACGGGTCATCCGAACCGTGAAGCTGTCGCTCACTTGGGCTCCCCAGTCCTGAATATGGCGGACGTCTCGAGCGGGTGCCCCGTCTGTGGGTGGAAACCCGCACCATATGGGGCCCGCAGCTCATGTTGCCAATCCGAACGGACCATCGGAACCCGGTGACTGTCGTCGCCTGTCGTCGCGTGTGAATATAGAAGAAATCTTTGGCGGGAGCGTCTTCTGTGATTAAATGGCGAAGAAGTCGTAGGCGGGGGCCCCCTCCCTATGGGACTCGCAACTCACGTTGCCAATCCGAGCGGGTCATCGAAGATTAGATATGTCGTTTTTTCTTGTTTCTTTAAGCGTGAATAGGTGGAAGTAACGAGCGGGAGTCTCGTTTGTGAGAATGGCGCTGAGCTGCGCGCGAAACATGCTGATCTTGCGGCCGCCCACGCGAGAATTCCTGGAGCGCGGTCCGCCGGCTTCCCTGCGGAAGGCGCTCGCGGAGTCCGACGAGGAGCGCGGGGAGCTCCAGGGCTGAACGGAACATATCGCGGCAAAGATGGGTTTCGCGCCGCCTCCCGTGTGAGCGCGATCGCGACTAACTCGATACCTGCGGTTTGTCCCAATGGTTGGCTTCCGCGCCCCAGTGGCTCGTAGGGTTGTCCCAGCGGGCTGGCCCCAGGGATTGTCCCAGCGGCTTCGCGATCTGGCCATCGGAAAACGCGCCCGTGCCGCTCCTGGCGGCAACGGCTCCACAGCTTGCGCGCCCACTCTACAAACGGCGGGGGAGGGGGGTGGACGGGCGAAGCGGGGCAAGGGTCGGGCAGAGGGCCTCCGCCACGGCGGGAAGAAGAACGATAAAGGGAACAACGCTTCTGCACTCACACAGACGACGACGAGGTTCACTTCCATTTTACTTTGAGAGCTTCTCCCATGGGGGGTCCTACTGTCAAACTCCTTCATATTCCATATAGCGGAAGCTTCGAACGGAGGCCTCGTCTGTGAGTGAATTGCCAGGGGATCTCAGGCGGGAGCCCCTTTCCCCATGGGATCCGCAACTCATGTTACTAAACTGAGCGGATCATCGTAGCCCTGTATCAATCGTCCCGTTTGGGTTCCTCAATCCTGATTGTGGCGGGCGTCCCGAACGGGAGCGCCGTTTCTGAGTGAACGGCGAGGAAGTCTTCAAAGGGAGAACCATGGAATGGACCTGGAATATTGAAACAGCTTCTGGCGGGGGCCTCGTTCGTGAGTGAAGCGCGAGGAAGTCTTACGCGGGGACCTCCTCCCTATGGGGCCCGCAGCTCGTGTTACGAATCCGCGCGGATCACCGGAACCATGTAGGCATCGTCGCTTTGGGCCTCTCAAGCTTGAGGATGGCGGAAGTGTCGAACGGGGCCTCGCCTGCGAGTGAATGGCGAAAAAGCGCACGCGGGAGATGCTGATCCTGCTGCGGCCCCCCGCGCGACAGTTTCTGGAGCGCAGGCCGTTGGCTTCCCTGCTGAAGGCGATCGAGGAGTTCGACGAGAGACTGGGGAGCTCCAAGGCTGATGCGGGGCAGCTCGCGGCAGAGCTAGGCTTCGCGCCGCCTCACGCCTGAGCGCGGCCGCGGCGACTAGCTCGAGTCCTGCGGGGTTGTCC